GGGGGGGGGTCCAGGTCACTCTGTGTGGTAGGATCTACGTTAGGGGTTCGTGGGGTGTAGTGGGGCAGGCAGGACCCACCCTGGGGTGCCGTGGGGGTGGCTGGGGGATGCCGTAGGTCAGGCTGTGGGTCAGGCACACCAAGGCTCTCTGGGGTGCCATGGGGTGCTGTAGGTCAGGCTGTGGGTCAGGCTGTGGGTCAGGCACACTAAGGCTCTCTAGGGTGCCATGGGGTGCCATGGGTCAGGCTGTGGGTCAGGCTGTGGGTCAGGCTATGGGTCAGGCACACTATGGCTCTCTGGGGTCAGGCTGTGGGTGCCAGGGCTCGGCCCGGGGGGTTGCCCCTCACCAGCGGCAGCGGGATGACTCTCTCCATCTGCCCCACGCGGTCGCGCAGGGCGCGGATCTGCTCGTCCTTGGCGCTGTTCTGCCGCTTCACCTCGCGCAGGATCCCCGCCAGCCTGTCCAGGTGCAGCCGCAGCCCCTCCACCTCGCTCACCCGCTCGCAGGTGCCGCCGCCGCCGCCGCCGCCCCTCTCCTCGTCCTCGCCGCCGCCCACGGCGTCCCACACGTCCCTGGCCACGGCGCGCCAGCCGTCGCGCTCGGTGGGCTCTCGCTTGCCGTGGCGCCGGCACAGCTCCCGCAGCCGGGCCAGGCTCAGCGCCTCCAGCTCGCGCCGTGCCGGCCGCGGCTCCCGCAGGGCCACCTCGAGGCTCAGCTCCCGCACCGCCTGCGCCTTCAGGTCGGCCATGGTCACCCACGAGGGCTGAGGCGAGGACGAGGACGAGGACGAGGACGGGGCCGAGGCGGGGGCCGAGGAGCCCCCGCGGCGCCGCTGCGGGATCTGGTAGACGCGCAGGGGCTCCCGGCGCTTTCCCGGCGCCGGCAGCGGGAGCCCGGCCCGGCGCAGCACCGAGCGCACGGCGGGCGCCGGCAGCGCCGCGCGCAGCGACGAGATCAGGCGCCAGCCGGCCTCGTAGCAGTGGGGGTCCGCCGTGGGGGGCTGCGGGGGGGACACGGGGGGGAGCGGGTGGGTGCGTGGAGGGACGGCGTGGGGGGCGTGGGGGCCGCTCGGGGCAGAGCTCGGGCAGCCGGGGGACACCCCAAGGGACACCCAGGGAGCAGCTGTAGTGCTCAGGGGACACCCCAAGGGACACCCAGGGGGCAGCTGTGGTGCTCAGGGGACACCCCGAGGGACGCCCAGGGAGCAGCTGTGGTGCTCAGGGGACACCCCAAGTGACCCCCAGGGGACCCTGAGGGGAGGCAAGGGACAGTGGTGACACTTGGGGGACACCCAACTACACCCCGAGGACCTGGGGGACACCCGTGACACCCAGGAGCTACCCAAGGGACACCTGTGGGACACCCAGGAACACTCAAGGGACACCAAAGCGACACAGGCGACCCCCGGACGTACCCCCAGAACTCCCAAATCAGCCCCAGCTTCCCCCCCCTCACCTGCGGCTGCTCCACCGTCTCCTTCTCTGGCTGGGGTTGGTTCTCCAGCTCCTGGAGTCTGGGGCGGGGGGAACACACGGGGTGAGACCCCCGGCCCGTGCCCGGGGGGGATTCCCATGTACCCCCTCGGGGTGCCCCCACCTCTGGAGGCGCATGTCGATGCCCTGCTGCTCCAGCAGCTCCCGCTGCGCCAGGTTCCAGTCCAGGGGGGGCCCGGGGGGAGCCCCCCGTTCCCGCTCCCGCCGCGCCTGCTCCGGGTGCGTGAAGCGGAACACGTGGTTCTTCCCCAAAATCAGGCGGTAGCCTAGGAACGGGGTGCGGGGGGGAAAACAGGATTTAGGGGAAATCTGGGGACGTACGGATTTGGGAGGGTCACGGGGAGTTTTGGAGGGATTCGGGGGCGTCAATGAACTGGGGGAAAAATTTGGGGGACACATAGAGATCTGGGGTGGATTTTTGGGGGACACGGAGGGATTTTGGGGGAACACAGAGAGATTTGGGGGAACACAGAGGGATTTGGGGCGGGGCCCTACCCGACTTGAGCACCACCGGCTCCGTCACCTGCTTCCCGTTGACGTAGGTCTCGGCCCCCTCACACGGCTCCAGCGTCACCACAACTTCGGGGAGGGACAACGAGGGGAGGGTGGGTCACCCCCCTGCTAAGCCGGGGCGGGGGGGACCCCAAATCCCACCCCCAAGCCCCCCAACCCTCCCCCGTCCCACCGGCACAGGGGGAGCGGTACCTGGGGGGGCCACGGTGACCTGCTCCAGTGCCAGCGTTTGGGGGGGGGGGAGAAAGAGAGATTAAGGGGGCGGAGGGGGGGGGGGGGCAAGGGGGGGCACCCCAAAATCTGGCACCACCCCCTCCGCATCCCGTACCTTCCCCCGAGGGGTCGGGGCAGCTGCGGAACAGGCAGTGCTGCTCCCGGATGAACGGCCCCGACAGCTTGATGTCCACGTCCACCTGGCCCACCCTGGGGAGGCACGGGGCAAATTGGGGGGCCTGAGGCATTTGGGGGGGGCCCTGAGAGGTTCAGGAGGGCCCTGAGTGTTTTGGGGGGGCTCCAGCCCCCCCCGCTCACCTGGTCACACCATCCTTGATGTGGTAGAGGAGGCACTCGGACATCAGCGGGTCCTCGTTGAGGTTCACCAAGTGGGGGGTCTTTTGGGGGGGGGGGGGAGAAAAGAAACACCAACCCAGAGTCAGGGTGAGTGGGGTCCCCCCTGGTGGGGGAGAGGCTGTGGGGTTTTTTGGGGGGCCCCCCCAGCCCCCCCTGACTTGCCTTTTTAGGGGAGAAGACGCCCACGGTGCCGCCGTCCTCCCGCAGAGCCACCCCCATCTCAGCCAGCAGCGCCTCCCTGGGGGGCACGGGGGGTTTAGGGGGGCCCGAGGGGATCTGGGGGGCCCCAAGGGTGTTTGGGGGGCAGTGGGGTGGGTGTTGGGCTGGGGGGGCCATGGGGGGGACTCGAGGGTACATAAAGAGCATTTTGGAAGCCTGTGCAGGGATCAGGTTTTAGGGGGCCATGGGGGGGGCTGGGGGTGCTGCAGGGCATTTGGGGGGTGGCAGGAGGAGGTTCAGAGGGGCCGTGGGGGGTTTGAGGAGGGTTTTGGGGCCCCCTCTCACCGCTCCAGCCTCAGGGCCTCCGTGCGCCGCAGCTTCTCCTCCCACGTCTCGTTCAGCTCCGCGATGATCTTCTCCGTCTCCTGGCAGAGGGAACGATTTCGGGGGGTCCCCCCCGAGTTAGGGGAGGGGGACGTGGATCTCCCGGGTCCCTCTGGGGCAGGAGAGGGGCTGGGGGGTGTTTTGGGGTCACCTGCAGCCGCTCCATGGCCTCGGCGGCGCCCAGGGGGGGCTCCGGCTCTGGGCCCCCGTTGAGAGTGGGGTCAGTCCCGGTGGGGGGGGCTGGGGGGGCGGTGTCCTGCAGACCTGGGGGGTCGGCGGGGGTGGCTGTTACCTCCTGCACCCCTACTCCAAACCCCAAATGCCCCCCCTGCACCACAGCTCTGCCCCCCAAGGCCTCCTACACTGTCCCCTAAACCCCCTCTGCCCCCAAACCCCCTCAGCTCTGCCCCCAAATCTCTTCACTTCCCCCTTCCCTACCCCCCCAAAACCCTTCTACACCCAAGCCCCTCAAAGCTGCCCCCCAAATCTCCCCTCTCTACCCTTCCAAAGTCCTCTGCTCCCCAAGTTCCCCTAAATCTGAGCCGAACCCCCCTTAAATCTCTCCCTTAAACCCCCTTAACTCCATCCTCAGCCCCCC